CGCTACACTCATGAATGCTGCGAAGAATCAATCCTTTTCCTGTTTCTTTTTTTGATATTTTTTCAAAGTCTACATTTTCTCTTTGTACGTTTTTCTTCAATTCTTATTCTACTGATGTCAATAGAACATTATCGTTATATGATCAATTGATGATTTTAAGATAGATTAAATGAATCAAGTGAAGATCAAACTGTCATTTGTTGCTTGTTTTGTTTTTTTAGCAGCCGATATGGATCATAATGGTCCTCAAAATTGGTCTTGGCGTTTTCAATGGTCTCAATTAACATCAGATATTCGTACAAGATTGAAAACATTGACACAAATGTATGGACGAGATTTGAAATATGGAAAATCCATTCCACCAGACGATATGGTGATGAAAGATTCAAAATGTCTTATACAATAGTTTCACTTAGACATGCATCTCATCGTTTTTCTTTTTTTGGTAGTATATTTTTCTAAACTAGCTCATTTATATTTAAACGTGCAATTGTTTATTCACTTTCGATGAAAATAAAATGTTTTCGTCTCCTTTGATATACTCTATTGAAATAGAAATCGAATCGAGCATTTTTCATCAGTACAAAGAGTTCTTCTTTGTGAAAACTTGCACTTCGTTAAATTTCTAAGTTTGTTAGATCATTTCTAGTTTGAATCCAAGCTTGACTCAAGAAAGAAAAAAAGGACAGTATTATTCTTTGAGTCGCATTGTCTATTATTACTATTTAATGTCTATGAGTACTGCCGTAAAACCTCCCTTAGTCTGACACTTTTAAAAGGTTCGAAGGTGTCCACTATAGAGACGTTTTACTGTACATACTATTTTTTGAGTTTTATAATCAGTGTGTAGATTCTAAGCATATCAAAACTTGACTTCTTATATATCGTTCAATGTATTGCGAGTTGCTCTACAAAATCGTGTATATAATTCCTTCGTTCGACATGGATTACCAATTCCGATAGAGTCGTTTTCGATTTATCTTTGTTCTTTTAACAACATTTAAAAATGACTCAAAAACCAACTAACAATAATTTTCATTGAAAAAAAAACGACAAAGCATAATACAATTCATGTAAAAAACAATAATTCTTTTTCACCATTAAGTACTTTCATTCAAATCAAAGGCTTACTTTTCCACTAAATAATCACTATTACTTCAATACTATTTTAGTAACTATTTTACACTTTTCCCAAACAAACAAAAAAAAACGTTTCAACCTTTCAAAGCACTTTAATACGTTTTAAATCTTTAATTAGTTAGCGGCAACATAGTATCATCTGTTGACTCTAACACTGTCTGTCAAAAGACAGCGTCTTAAAGGGATTGCACTTAAAATAAAATCTTAGGAAAACTTTTATCCATCACTATAGCTCTATATCATATAAAATAAATTTACCATAGGATATATTTTTCTTCGTAAAATCATAGAAACAGTGATCATTTTTCTCGACAAAGAAAAAACAACATTCGAAAAGTTAACCTTATTGAAGTTATGTGAAATTATTCGTGATGATAAATCTCTTGATAAATACATCAGCAAAGATGATTGAAATTCTATCAGAAAAAATTGAGCATTATACGTGACTCAATTTTCTTGGATTATTCGATGGGAATTTATTTAGCTACAATTTCACGAGATTTGATAGTGACCATCTGAAAATTCCGTAAAAATTGCAAAATTCGAAAGTATTATCATTTATTGATCGTTGTCATCATCTGTGATGTATTCAATAAATCAATGGTCCAACGAATAGTTGCTGACCTCGAGATGCATGAGAACAATTAGTCGTTGTTCAAGTCGGTCAATATTATGTTCATCAAAGAGAAAATCGATTTTAAATGTTAAAAAAATGTAACGCGTTATGTGACCATTCATCGGGCATCATTTTAACATTTCCATTTCTATGCACTAAATGCTATTCACCAACATGAATATTCAAAAGTATGAAATTACGCAAATAAGTAAGTAGTATTTCGAAGAATGATACATGATAAAAACCAATAGTAACCGAACAAATACGGAAGCAAGAAATGAATTTATCGAATAACTCAGCACTGGAATCAAATATACCATTAGATAAGTGAATCAACTTGAGTCATAAAAACTTGCCACATACTAAATTACTTCGTCAAGCAAATTTGTATGTTCTTCATCTATATTAAATATGTTATCTATTTTTAGACTGATATGTATAATATAGAGCGTTGAGAGAGGATCGATTTGGGCACTTGTGATTATATGCCATCAAAGAATGAGTACAAGTTCTTCATTGCGTTTGTAACAACGTACCAAGATAATACGTGAAGCAAATCTATTAATGGTAAGTTCACTGGTAACTAAATCGTCTTAAGAGCTACAGTTTCATCGTTCGAAAGAGGGTGTGTCACTGCACAGTTCCATATATTACTCAACAATGTTCTTAATTGGTGAGTGACTAATTTTCGAAAAACTAATTACAGCTCTATGAAGATAACATAAAAGTTCAACTCTAAGAAGCGCATTGAATCTGTATACTTGTGATCAATGTACACATCCTCATCATCTGGTATTGAAACTATACCGTCTGAACAAAACAAGATAATCAAGGTATTTTACTCGATTGTTAATGGCAGGTGTTCATCTGAGATCTTGGACATGATCATTTGTGCACTGCTCGTTCATCGCAATCTATGCGTCACACGGCAACGTCGTCAGGTCGCGATCAGGAAACCAATGAAGTAGAAAATTCGCAGCAGTGTATACATAATCAACAAGTTCTACTGATGTTAATGAGTCAAGTACTTATTTATATCAGTTTAGTAGCACCTATGATGAGCTTTCATTTTTTTAATGCTCCTTTGCTTAACATTCCGAATAAGTCATCCAATCGTCAAACCATTAAAGGGTGGGTGTGGGTGTGGGTGTGAGTGTGTGGCTGTGGCTGTGGCTGTGAATGAATACCGGATCTGCACGCGCACCCCACACGCCACACTCCACACCCTCACAAGCATACCCACACTCATGCCCCACACCCACACTCACGCCCAAATCCATTTGAACTTCGATGAAACGAATTTTGGTGGCATTTTCATGAAATTGTTAGGAAAAAACTAGATCTTCATGATGCGAGGGAGTGCTTCGGATCTTTCATATTATCTGAGTACTTTCTAAAAATAAATGAGATATTTGTATTCTGCGCACTTGAAGCTATTGAAGTATAAAGACTTGTGATTGGACAACCAGCAAATTTTTTTTTCGATACCTGAGGTGGACCTCAAGTATCAAAACTTGAGTTGTGATCATGTAGAATAGAGAATTATGAAGAATATTCAGAGTTCGATGCTGACTTTCAAAGTAATAAAATCAGGTTTAACTTTTCAGGGCCTCCGATCCGTAATTCGATGCAACGTTTGACGTATTAGAGTGTGATTAATGTATGATAATAAACTAATAAATGAATAAGCATCAACTACATGATTTACTTTATCTTATTTTACTATATCTTGCTTGTTCGATAAAGTTAGAGATATGTCACTTTACTTTACTTTACTTTACTTTACTTTTCGGATAAAGTAGATCTACTTTACTTTACTCGATAAAGTAAAGTAAATCTGCTTTACTTTACTCGATAAAGTAAAGTAGATTAACTTTACTTTACTTTATCAAGTAAATATAAAGTGCCACCCCTACTTACTAATGATCAATGAGCTAGAATGAAATGAACTGATCGACAATGGACTTTGAGATAAAATTAAAAGAAAAACAAGCTAAAAGTAACGACAATAACTGATCCGAAGAGACTCAAAACTTTAAAAATTAAAGTAATAAGAAAACACTATCTATCTTGAAGGTGAGGGTGAAGAGATATGTTATCACTCACGGCACCTGTAAACATCACTCTGCTGTTTCACATGATCGATAAGTTTTTGACTTAAGAGCGAAAAAAATATATTATACACTGTGGACGAAATATAAAAATGGAGAATACGATAAACCGAAAGAAAAATCAAAGGAGGAATGAATGTATGAAATGCCAACTAATGATGGAAGTATCAAGAGACTGAACTATCAATGATAAGTATTCTCATAAGGAATGTTAAAGGATGATCGCCATGTCGCTTAGAATTGATTGCACATAATAGTTGTGAAACTATTTCTAATCCACTTTATCTGAGTGAAGATATCACTTTCGGTATCGACTCGACAGTCACCAAGAGAACAGATCGAGGAGAAAAACACAAAGTCAACGCTGTTCGTTTCGAACTAGCTGAAAGTGAATTAACTTGTCTCCAATGTTCTGTTATCGACACGGCATTCGATCATAGGAAGCGAGCTTCTCTCCAATGACATCTGAAATAATCCTTGACAACAATCTGAACTGGATCCGACTTGATCAATTCATTTGAAACCAAAAACTTGGCTAGGAAATGATTTAGAGATCCGTCTCCTCTCGTCCTTCACGAAAAACGTTTTGACTCACTGCTGTTATACGAATATTTACTATAACGGCTTCGTGTCGTCGAAATGCCTTGTAGACTATGTAACTTATTTGAGATTATTATTAGTATTGTTATTATTAGTAATGATCCTTGAATAGTTACGAAATCGAAACTACCTGAAGAGATCCTTGAGCAAGGTCGAAACGCGTCGTAGTTTGCTTTGACTCGCCCTTCTATGTGTATAAGTAAATATCAATACAAACTCGAGCAACATTAGAGAGAATCTATTCATTTTCGCTTTTATCATATTAAAAATGTTGCTCTGGCAAGCTAGTATTTCTATCAACTCCCACGTTTTCGTCATTACAATATGCATTTGATCGCATGAGATCATTTACCTCTTGGTAAGTTGTAATAGGAAATTGTTCTCGTCGACGTACAGAGCACGACATCTCTTCTGTCTTTACACATAGTAGAAAAACAAGAACAGGTGTGATGTAGGATGTGTAAAGCCACAAGAGATGTTGTATTCTGTTCTTCAACGAGAATAATTCTGGCATCTTCTCAAGAAAAAGGATCATGACGAGTACAAAAGTGAAATCTGAAGAAAAAGATGATGATGTTACTGAAGAAGAAGTCGGTGCTTTTCATCACACAATAGAACAAATTTCACCAGCAACAAGAGAAAAACGTAAACGAAATGAAGAAATTCCAACCGAATCGCCAAACAAATACAAGCATATCGCAGATGGTCATCGTTCGCTTTCAACAACAGCTAAAATGAATTTTTTAACTGTTCCATTTTGGAAAGACTTAAATACAAGAGGAACCTCGGTAGAATTTCATCTGAAAGAAGTTGGACGTTTTTCATCACTAATGGAAGGTAAAAAACAAGAACGTTTTGAAGATAAACGTTATTGTCGTGTTTATAAATATCCGCTTGAAACACGCAATGTTAATTTGGATTTAAAAGTAGGTCTATCAGATTTTGTTTATGAGGGACAAAGTAAAAATCTGGATTCTATGCTTTGGTGGATGTCAAAACATAAAGAAGAGATTTTCCAAAACAATCAATTTACATTTGATTTTCTTTCTTGGCGTGGTGCTCTTCGTTCGATTATGTTTTCTTTACATGAAAAACGTTCCGATTGGTTATTAGCTGTAATTAAATATAAAAACGCATATTTTTTATGTGAATATGTAACAGATATACAATTAAAAGAAGAACAAAATATGACATCTAAAGCTCGTTCATTTTGTTATTATGGTCTGAAATTCGAAGAATGCGTCACTAAAAATGACACAACAACAGAAACATTAAATTCATTAAAAAAATTTATTGGAGTATTTCAATCGACAATCGATTCTTATCGTTTACTGTATGGTGCTGAAATAGATTGCGCAACAGAAAACTCATCATCAACAACTGAACATATTGAACTAAAAGTTTGTGCTGGAAAGTCACTCTATGATTTGCCATTTCATTACAATCATAAATATGCTAGATGGTGGATTCAGTCTTTTCTCGCGCGTATTCAAACAATGATTATTGGTTTTCGAGATGATAATGGAATTGTTAACAAAGTTTCACCATTGAATATCTCACAAATCGAAAAAGCGACAAGTACATGGAGTCGCCAAGCATTTTTCAATTTCTTTACACGTTTTGCTAATTTTCTTAAAGATAATGTGACAAATGAATATTCAGTTGATCAAAAAGAAGTTGTCTTAGTTTCTTTTTCAACATATGCTCGCCGAATCACACTGGAAAAATCCTCGGATCCAAAATATCACTTTATTCCTGATCAATTTTTCCATGAATTCAATTAAACAATCTCATTTTAAGCTAGAGCAACACATTTCATTCAAATATAGATTAATGACAACGGTTGATTAGAATTTTTCAATGGCATTTTATATCGGTTGACAATTATTTAAAAAATGTTTTTCAGAAAACGGAGCGAATTTCTTTTCATATCTGATATACTGTGTCAGGGTGTGAATGTGTGGATGTGAGCGTGAGTGTATGAGTGTGGTTGTGGGTGTTAATTAACAGAAGATCGACACCCACATCCACCCACACCCACGCACTCACACTCACATCCACCCACACCCACCCACACCCACGCACTCACATCCACCCACACCCACCCACGCCCACGCACTCACACTCACACCCACCCACCCCACACCCACACCCACCTACACCCACACCCACCTACACCCACACCCACACCCAC